TTTATATACATATTTTATATTTATTTTTAATAAACGTTCAAGTACTTTTACACTGGAAGTGCTGAAGGCCAGGGAGAAGTGCGGCTGTTTGGGCAGACTTGAAAACTTAAAGGGCAGTTTGATATTTAAAATAAAAATGTGTAAAATGGAACAGGGCAACAAATTTGGGTTGGTGTTAATAAATGGACGAAGTACTTCGGAAGAGTGTAATCTGTTTAAATGTGAATTGTTCAGTCGCTTGCTTACTGGTGCTTTCTGATATTAAGCAGATGTTTTTTCTAGAAAATACTTCTTGATAAATTAGCTCTGGAGTTTTCTGGGGAGGTTAAAGGTTATAACTACTTGCCCTAATGGCACTACGGTGCAGCGTGTGTTCTCCAGGCATTCTGATCCAACTGCAGCTACGCAGCCTTTTCTCCCTGTCGTGGCTGCTTCTAGCTCTGGCATATATTAACTTTATTCTGAATAATATTTTTTTTTCTTCACGTACACCTCCTGCTGCTGCGTAGGCAGTTCAGACTCTTGAGGCCTCACGGGGCAAGCTGTGTTTAGACAACAAGTGTTGCAAAATAACCAAAAGAGTTAGGGTTTGTTTTGGGTTTGTTTTTTTTTTTAACTGCAAAAAATAAAAGTTTGTGTTAAGAAATGTCAGTCTTGTGTATTTGTGAATTCTAAAGAATGAAGAATTCCTCGTGCTTTCAGTTTTACAGTTTGGTTTTACAAGTAAAGTTGTCGTCTTTGTCTCAGTTGCATGGCTAAAGATGACCTTTAGGGTGGTGTGGGTTTTTTTTTTGGTTTTTTTTTTTTGTCTTTAAAGTTGTGCTAAGTGTTCTAGAGGAAGTATATGAAACAGCACCTTCAAACTGCGAGAGAAGCGATGGGGAAATGATACAGTAGAAGTTGATAGTCATGGGTGGTATGACTTGCATGAGGAAACGGTTGTTTCACACTGAGCGTAGATACTGTTTGCCACAACGTTGCGAAATCTTCATTGAAAAATAAGCGGAAAGAGTTTTCTTTCATGGAAGAAAGTCCTTCAGAGGCTTGGCAAAGACCCTCTTGACGGCTCGAGAAGTCCTTGATGAGCGGTGGGAGAAGAGGTGCTAAGTAAGCTAGATGGACCTTCGGCCTCCCCAGCACGCCTGTAGATGAACGGGATCTTCAGAGCTGGTTGTAGGTCAAGGTGATTAGACGAAGGTGATGAGACGTGATGATTTCACATCATCACACTGCGCTTGGTGCGTAGGACCAAGTTGTAACAAGCGGTGTAAGAATGCTGTGTTATAAACAGATGTCTTTGTAACGTGGCGAAGTGGAAAGGAGGTAGGCAAGCAAAGCGGATAATGTGAAAAAAGAATGGATGAAGATGATGAAAGATACTGAATGAGGAAAACCTTCTCTTTATCCAGCGCTTGAAGATACTGGATATCTGAAAAACAAAGTTTCAGTGATGTTAAAACGATGGATTTCAAATTCAGATTATTCATGGTGACGAGCTGTCTTTTTTTAATAGATTCTTTTAATCCAGTCTTGTACTGAAGCACAAACTCATCTAGGATTCATTTTCTTGCCAAGGTTGAAGCAGAAGCTGCGTTGCCTATCGGAAGAGAATTCACGTGAGTTCCCTG